GTCCAGCCTTCCCTATAGCCTACTTGACCATTGTGTATTGTGCCTGCCCTGCCATCCTGCACTGTTCTCCATCATACCCCATGTAGTGGCCATCTACCTTTTTTGCTGGGCTTATTAACCAATCAAGCTAGTTTGCTATTTTCTGAAAGTCTACTTGTTTCCCTAACTCACACGGGCCTGTATCCTGTCTCTCCAGCCCACCAAGTTCACAACTTAAACAGGCCAACAGAGCCTGACAGACTAAGCCCCCAACACTGCTCCAACTCACCCAAGTCTACCCAAGGTGACTTTATGCACAAGTCACTCAGATTCTGCTGTTACTTGTCCTTCCAGCCTGGCCTGTTACCAACTCACACTGCTGCCCAGTTCCCCATTTCGGCCTACTCCACAGCTACATGGCCTGACAGCCTGAAGTGCACTCCACCTCATCTTACTTGACCACAACCTGGCCTGTCAGCCTCCATTGTTACATAACTCACCCTAGTCTTTTGCTCCATGGCTCTGAGTCTCTTCTCTCCAGCATTCTTAGGGTCCACACAGTAGCCCGTGGTCCCCACTTCAGTACAGTCCAGTCAGTCTACCTAGCCTGCAACTTCCAGGCCAGTCAGCCCACACCATTCTTTTCCATAGCCAGTCTCCAACCTCTCCCCATTCCACAGAAAGCTTCCTGTCTTGCAGCTTAGTTCAGTCCACACAGTGCTCTGTTCCCCAGCTCGCCATCTCCATGCCACTGACCTTCCAGCATGCCCATTTCCCCAACATATCTGGTGCTCTTCCTCCTGTCCTGTCCGATCACAGGTACCCCACCTACAGTTGGTCCCTCAGCCTGTCCTACTACCCTATGCTGTTCCCCAAGTCACCTCAGTCCATCTCCCCTCACTCTAAGTCTTCCCTTGTAACCTGTTCTCCAGTTCCCTGTCTCCCACCCAGACAACACTGCTGCTCACTACAGTGTGTTGCTGACTATGCTCACAGCCTGCTCTCTTGCCCACAGTGCACCACATAACCACCTCACCCTTGTCTGCCAAGCCTCCATCACTTCCACCTCTCTCCTTTCCACCCATGCACAGTAGATAACCAACCTGCCTGTTATCAAGGACCCTCAGCTGCCTGGCCTACTATACAACACAGTACCCCAACTCGTGGTGATCCAAAAATCATGCACTGTTCACAAATCCTTCTGGTGTACCCCACATACTCCCTTTCCAAATCACAGCCTGCCCCTGATCCCCTTATCGGTCTGATCTGTTCGTCTGTCCAATGTCCAGACTCACACAATTCCATCACTGCGAAGGACGCCACATGACCCGTTCTTATCAAACACCAGCACACTCTGCCTGTTCACTCTACCACCTCACACTAGAATATGCAGCCTGTTTCATCCCTAACTAACAGCATGGAAAGGTTTTAGCCATTCATTTTAATAGCTTTCTCCATAGATCTTTGTTAGGTACCATAGCACGGGTAACAGGCATTAATCTGATTAGTTCTTTACTATCTCTAGTTATCCCTTTGGGGGTCATTATGCATTCTGGGCTCTTACATGGTGTTTCTTTGTGTTCTTTTATCCTTGATACATTTACAGGTGCTGGTTCCAGTTGCCTGACCCTGCACCGGGCTAAGGAGACAGGGGGTTTCTCTTATCCCCCCTGCAACTGTTGGTTCCCTGAGTCAAGCAGGCCCTGGGTCAGCCTCCTGACTGTAGCCATATCTGTCATCTCTCCATTGAGCATACCTGACTGCTGGGGAAGGACCTGCTGGGAAAGCCTGTCTTCACCTCTAGCATAGGGTTGATTTTTAAGAGAGAAATGCACCTTATTTAATATTTAGGGATCCTTAACCACCCCTGGGACCATTTTTATCCTTTGAATGTCTTTTGTAAATGGTTGTTCTGGTTTTAAAGCCTTCCAGAAACATGGTGTTTCTTTGTGTTCTTTTATCCTTGATACATTTACAGGTGCTGGTTCCAGTTGCCTGACCCTGCACCGGGCTAAGGAGGCAAGGGGTTTCTCTTGTCCCCACGGCACCTCTTGGTTCACTGAGTCAGGCAGTCCCTGGGTCTGCTTCCTGACTGTAGCCATATCTGTCATCTCTCCATTGAGCATACCTGACTGCTGGGGAAGGACCTGCTGGTTCAGTAATGGCTGTCCCTCTTTTATAGTCCTCCAGGCCCTATTAATCATGGGTGTTTCCCTTGGTGGTTACCATGTATCTTTAATGCCTTGCACCAGCCATCCCATTAGGAACTGCTCCCCCCTGCATTGGCCTAGGTTGAAGAGCCTATGTCACAAGGACAAACAGGCAGTTATATAACTCAGCTGTGAAGTTTCTGAAGGTATTAGACTGACAATATTTGTTCCCATGTCCCAAACCACCATAAGCCATGTGGTGAGGGGCTCTTTGATTGCTTGCTTGTAAGTTTTTCTGAGTTTCAATGGCTCCAGGGTGGAGTATTTCCAAGCTACAGTACTGTTAGCTTTTTCTTCTGTTGTATCAAAGGTTGAATCTGAGGGGCAGGCTTTAGCTACTTTTATTTTCAGGTAGTTTCTTTTTTCACTACTATCTGTCTTTTTTCCTGGGTCTTTTTTCCTTGGACCCCTGGTCCCCTAACCTTACACAAGTTAAAATGTCCTATTTTTCTCTCCTTCTCAAGCTCTGAGGCTGAAAATGAATCTGCCAGTGCCTCCCTGGCCTTTTCAGCTTCCTCTGCCTTGGGCAAATCTTTTATTATGCAAAGTGGCAATGCCCCCTCTCTGGGTTCCTCTCTTGCTTGTAAGAATTTTTCCAGGCTTTCTATAATCTTTCAGCTTTTAGATCCATGTGCAGGTGGACTCCATTCATTTTAGCAACTGAGCTAGTTCCCCACATTTATAACACATCTGGGGCCCTGGGACTTTTTTCCCTTTGATTCCGATTGCACCTGCATGGCCTGTGTCATTCTAATTACATATTTCATGATCCTTTGTGTAACACACAGTATAACATACATAAGCATAGCTAGCCACCTTAAGTCTATGGGGACTGAGGTGAAGTCCAGGTCATACATGCAACAAATAGAAAAGTTTCCTAAGGAACGTGAAGTGAGGAAAGAGAGATAGAAACGGAGCTGTGTGCTTAGGCAGAGGGCTCTGCTGGGAGTAGGGGTGGGTCTGGGGGCTAACCCCATCTCTTTCCTCACAAAACCCTCTGTGACTCTTCCCTGCTCTGTGATGTAAACCTGGCACTAAGGTGAGGCTCACGCAACCTCAGAGCTCAGTTGCTTCAGGCAGCCATCTGTCCAGACCATGGAGAAGATTCTCTCTTTTCTGAATAGCCATATTGAATCATGTTTGAGCTTCGGCTCAGTTTTCTTGGATACCAATTCCGACAGCATCTCTCTGAGTGCTGTGGGGTTGCTTCTTCTGTACCTATGGTACCTGATACTGAAACCCTTCTTACCTTTACTGTGGAAAAGCCAGGACACCCGAAAGGTAAGGAAGCGTGGTGAGCCTCCAAGAGAGATTCTTTATTGCTCTACCCCATCTCTGTTCTCAAGTTTCTGAATGAGTTTGATTATTGTCTCAGAGAGATGCCTTACATGTAATGCTGAAGAGAGAAGACACCTGTTTTAGAACATGAGGTCTGGCAGGGGGTTTACAGAGAAGACTGAGGCTTCCATCTGGATCCCACAGTCTGGGTGTAACTGAAGGTTTCAGGGTCCAGTGCCAAGTCCTGATTCCTGATCTTACAGACTTAGTTACAATGTCAGGTTCTCTGAAGGTGACCAGCCTTTCCTGTCACTTGATCCCACACCTGTTCCCCCCTCCTATGTCCCTTCACCTGGCAGTCTTCCAAACTGGGCTCTTTGGGAAATCAGTGCAGAACACTGACTCTGAGAAGAACCTGGAGCCTGAGCTTTGCCCCTCAGAACACAAGGTCTTCTGATGGAGCACAGCTATGGCTGCTCACCTCAAATCAAAGTCCATTAAACATAGGACTTCTGAATGATATTCCCAAGTGGGAATCTCACATGTAATATCAGTGAAGATATTCTATCACTTTTGAAAGTAATAAAAGGTAAGAAATACTCTCCCTAATTGAATGGAACTCACAGTCTTCTTGGATGACCAAGACTAGGCCGAGAAACAACAAAAATAAATGATTTTCCCTTTTTGTTCACAGTACCAGCACAGAACTAAGAAAAGAAGGAGAAGATCATTTGAAGGTAGGTTCCCATCTATTGGATCTGTCTCTCCAGGTTTCCCCTCCTGTCACTTCCATAAGGTCCCATGTCCATGGTATGAGGATGTTACATTGTCAGAGACAGTCTCTCTCAGAAGAGACTTTCCAGGAGAGGCTCATGGGAAAACAGAATCCTGCTGTGCTCACCCATGGGCATGAAGCACTGATGACCCACCCAGGCAGTGGTTGCCATGCACACGGTAAGCACAGGAGGTATCCAGGGAGGACCGCTGGCTGCTTCAGAGCCAAAGCTCCTGCCTACTGGCATCATACGCATGCTCAGACACCTCTGAAGAAATCAAGATTCCTGTTTTTGTGGTAGTTTTGAACATCAGACTTTGACAGCCTAAGAAAGGTACTTATGTGTAGCTGGGTGTAGTGGCATACACCTTCAGTCCCAATACTCAGGAGGCAGAGGCAGGCCTGGTCTATGTAGTATCAGGTCAGCTGGTGCTACAGGGAGACCCAGTCTCCAAAAGACCAAAATAAAGTACTTATGTGTGATCTTCATGTTTCTAACTTCATTCTATACAACCCACACTTCTATTTTCCCAGGTTCCAGAATTTTCCAGAGAGCACAGGAGAGGAGAAAGCTACTTTCTGTTGTGCAAAGGTGATTCATTTCCCTTTTGTCCAGGCCCCTTTTCTCCCCTTGCATCCCAGGGATTCAGCACAACCTGCTCTTATCATGGGAGAGCTAGCCAAAGGGACATGTATGTGAATGAAGGGCATGGGGAGAGGCCACAGCCTCTCTGGAAGCCACTGAAGGGGCAACAGGAATGGGCACTGCAGGCTCCAGGTATCGCCACCCTTTCTAGGCCTGCAGGCCCTCCTTTTCACATGCTGTCCCTCAACTTACATTTGAACTTTCTGTCTTATGCAGTTCCTCTGGACAACTATATGATCCTTCCTGCTTTCGGAAAGTTCTGTGCCCAGATCCCCTCTGCGATGTGTGTAATCAAGCTACTGCTAAGGTCAGTCGTCTGCTCAGTCAGACCATCCCTGAAGATGGTGCTTCATCTGTGTGCAGTACGATTGCCACAGCTTCTGTGACTGAGACCTCATGTACTCTGCCCTCTTCCATCTCACCAATGCTTCCAGGGCATCCCATTCCACACCCTCTACCCAATCCCCCTCCACATTCTCCTTCTACTCTCTCAACTAAGGAGGTCACCCCTTTGGAAGGCAGACTTCTGAGTACACCACAAGGCAAATGTCTGGCATCAAAGTCTGCTACTGTCTTGAAATTCCCACTGGACCATATCCCACCCCATCCACTTGCCTCTTTCCCTCCTCCACCACAACTTCCTACTCAGGACACAGAACTGCTTCTCCAACCAGAAGCCACTCAGTCTCCGGTGGGAAGCCCTACTGAGTCATTCACTACAGTCTCCACAAAGAAGACAATGTGCAGTGCAACATGCACAAGAGCAGAACTCACCCAGAAACAGACTGACGCCGACAAACTGTCCCGATCAGAGTCGAAACACAAGATTGACCAAGAGCTTCTTAACGTACATTCTTCTGAAGCCTATTTGAAGGAAGAAACCACAGTCCACTTCATGTTGCCTGAAAACCTCTCTTTATATAATCCTAAAGTCCTGACACTGCTTGAGGAACAAGGAAGGAGGGAGAAAAGCTCAGAAGTACTTGTTAATCCATCTTTGGGAAGGAGCAAAGACAGACCACAGGGGCTTCCCATACAGCTGCAGTCTGCTCACTCCGAAACCGCCCAAGACCAGTTAGAGCTCAAATACATCCAACACTTCTGGGGCCTCCCATATCTGCACAGTGAGTCCTTGAGTACTACCACCAGCACCTCAGCTCGCTGTTCCTCAACTTACATCTACTTCAACAGAATCTCAGGTCCCTCCATCCTTACTCACTCCACTCTTCTGCCCTCGCCGAAGAGTCAAACACAGACCTTGCCTCAAACTGTGACCCAACCTCAGTCCCAAATTGTCCCTCCTGCAAAGTCCCAGGGCCAGCCTCAACTTCCAACGCCAGTCCTCCAACCTTCTCAAGCCCAGCTTCAGATCTCTGGACTGTATCTTCACAGACACCAGGATGAGGCACAGTCTCTGGGGACATCTGAAATCCAACACTTAGAATACAATATCTTACCAAAAAAACAGGAAGGGGTGTGGGGTTTACCCACTGTGGTCAAAAGCTCCCAGGAAGAATTTTGCTGCTCATCGTCGGAGCTCTCATTGGTCACTGAGTCCCCCAAGGCCCAAGGTCCCAGGACCATCTCTCCTGGACACTTCCCCCTCAGTAGTGAACTTCATCAGAAAGTAGAACAGCACCGTCAAAAGAGGCTCATCCCACAACACTGGGGCCTTCCCCAGAGGGATCCTAGGTGTCAATCACGGATGGATCCTCAGGCAGAACTTCCTGAGTCCTCCAAGTCTGGGATCAGCTACGGGAACTCAGGTAGCTCTTTCTTTAAGCACCAGGACAGTAAAGACCTATACAATGTTGTGTTGAACCAGGCTACAAGCTTCCAGGAGAAGCACTCAGAGACCTCCCCTCTAGAAGAGGAAGTGGGGAAGGCACAAAGACATAGTCCAGAGAGTGACCCACATCATCTATGGAGTGACAACAGGGGGATACCATATAACCATCTGGGCTTTGATTCTGAGAGAAACTTAGAACATCATTCAGGGAGTTTGTCAGACAAACCTTCAAGGACCTCGCAGGAAAGCCAGGATCATAAAGAACTCGAAACTGCCCTGCAAGGAAAAGTGAATTGTCATCTTAAAGAAGTTAAGGAGGGTCAGATCCCTGGAACTATGTCCAGACCAATGCCTCGGCCTTTGGGCAGGGAGGGACAAAAGGCCCAGAGTCAGACATCTTCTGATAACAAGGATGAGTGTTTAAAGAACACGTGTAGAATGACAAGTGGCAGACAGCCTGTTTTGCAACAGTCACGCAGTGTCATCAACAAAGTCAGTCTGAAAGAATCCAGAGAGGGCAAAAGATGTAGCCCAGAGCTGCCCACAAGGTCCATTGAGGCTGGGACTCAGCCAAAGGATGAAAGAGAGAGTTCCATTAACAAGACACAGATGTCTCAAGAAACAAGGCTGCATGACCAAAACACACCTATATCCAACAAGGTCCATAACATTGTCAAGGGAGGGCAGCTCTGTGGTCTTCAACTGCAACCTATGAG